GATTAGTCTATGCTATTCAAGAAGGATACTTCTAATATCCAATAGACACACGCACACAAATAATTTTCAATCATAATTTATAAATACGAAGTAAATATGTGAGATGAGTTTTGTCCACACTTACATAAAATATACTTTTAAGCACTTAAATAAGTCAACTCAAATGAACATTATATAAAGAGAAGTAGACGCATCCACGAATCTACGAATGATGCAGTCCATAAAAAGATGTCAACTCTCTCTAATTTTATACAATTTAAACACAAAACACACACAAATATGCTAATGTCAGACTCAAGTTGAGACCTCATCTAAGTATAACTCTCAAGAAAAGAGGCTTGAACACTACAAATGAAAAGTATCAAATCAGAAGGGGAACCGCTATTTGCATCCGTAATACTTAAATTTGGACCAATAATGCCAAATATCATATAATTAAAAAAAAATTGATGCATTGATCATGGCGCAAAAACCCATATCAATATCCTTAACTTAAGTAAGCATTATGACTTGTTGCAATGGAAAAGGAGAGAGAGAGGTGGGGGGAGAGAGAGAGATTGCTCAACATACATATAAATGGTACGAACAAAGCTTCCAAAATCTGAAGAGAAGAAGAATTAAATGTGATGGTTGAAATTTGAAAGTGTTACTTTTAAAAGTGAATCATTGGCTACATTTATCTGCTTGCCAACCATTCAAATCTTGTTCCCTTCAGTGTATGTTGTTGGTTGAATCCAATTGATTGGCCTTGACCTCTTTTTTCCCCCCTCGATATTAAAGTCAAATGAATGAATCCCACACACAACTTTGCCTCACAACTTCAACTCCACACACTCACATCACTTTAATTTTGCTATTTCCCTCATCGACAAATATCACTGTTTCGTTTGGTAGATCATGAGAAGAAGATGATTCTTCCAGTGAAGCTTATCGATCATCACCTAACAATAATAGTATTTCTCTTTTGAATAAATATCAAATCCTTATCAAATGTAACAGTTTTATTATTTGTCCTACTTTTATTATTCTTTTCACACAATTACAAACTTCTGAGTGTATACGTGTTCTTTAGTACAATGTACATTTGCAAAGAGAGACAATGAGTTTGACCCCACACACCAACATACCCTTTTTGGTACCAAAAAGTTTAGCTGAGTTAGGTTCCGAAAACTCATTAAGGCTAAGACATACCTCCAGGCTTCTAGAGCACTCACAGAGATACTTACATATTGCTTATTAACAAAGTTCTCACATCGACAGGTAGATTTGAATTCATGATCTTTTGAGTTATGAGTTGATTCCCTACCAATTGGAGTAACTCTTATTAGCACACCAATATACTTATTTTCTCAACAAAATTTTCATATTATAAAATTCATTTATGGTAATAATGTGTTTCTAAAATGAGAAATCAAAGGAAAGTGATATCATACATAGCTTGAATATGTATACTCGCTTTGTCACTTTTCACTCACTATTTTTTTTCCTTTATCTCATAGTTTTATGTTATTTTGTATGTAATATAGTTAATTGCATATAAAACTTGCTCTTTTTTGTTGTGTCTGTTGAAAGAGAGAACATGTATAATACAAAGATAATATAAATGTACGTAAAACTTGCTCTACTTTTAATTTATGATTTTGAACTCATAAATTGAAAAAAAAATCATATCTGGAGAGTCAACCCCCCTTAATTAAGTCAGAAAAAATGCTTAAATTTGCCCTATTTGCACAGGATAACATATGATTATTTGAAAAAATAATGATGAACTCTACAAGAATTTTACAGTAGCAATTTTTTTTTTTTAAAGTATCATCCAAATTACTCGTCCACATCCTATGTCTCTCTTTCCTATTGAATGTTAATTAGGATATCATATCCAACTCGTCCACATTCCAAGTCTTTGTTTCCAAAAAGATGTTAAATATAGTGGATGAGCTGGATTGATCCAACCTCCTTCCCTTTCACTCTCCAATAATTCCCTTTCACTTCCCAATCTATATTCTCAAACGGAGAAAATGGGAAAACACAGTCCCTTTCCTTCTTCAACCATATCCAAAAATATTATATATATATATATATATATAAAAAACAAGCAGAAGTCTACCATATATATACATAATAAAATTCCCTCATTTGCCCCTCTGATGTCCCTCTTCTCTCTTCTCATCTCCATCGCAAAGTACTAAAGAAGCCATTCAAAAATCAAAATCATCAAAACCTACTGTCAATAATAATAAGTAAAAAGAAACAAAAGAGGATTTATGATTTGTGTCCACCAGGGAGAGATTTCAGGAAAATCTCATCACCAACATTAAACCCATTCACAGGTTTATATGTGGAGATAGGAGAAGAGTGAGAACTCAAATTAAATTGCATTGCCTAGTTTTACGGACCTTGTCAATATAATGCCAGGACAATTTTGCAGCAACATAAAGCTGTATTCATGGATAGGTTTTTTTTTCCCTCTTTTTTCCTAATTATATTCTTTAATTTATATCTATCTTTATTATTATTATTATATTCTTCACTATACTTCTCTGTCTTCTCTCTTTTCAATTCTACATCATCCATATCTGTGGTGGAGGTCCATATAAATCGCCTTGATGTTCTTGTTCTTGACTACTACTACGACAACATCTTTATCATATAATTACCCTCCAATCATAGTGCATTATTAACCGTTTTTGAAAAGTAAAATTGGTTGAAATTAATGCTTCTGCGATTTTGATTAGCGGCTCTAATTTACTACTACCGTCTTTTTTGGGAACATATATGTATCATTGGATTCTGAGCTTCGATTGATAGGTTGAAAAAGTAAAAACACGTACGTACGAGGTGTGGGATGAAATTAATGAGGTTTTTTTTTTGTGTGCTGCCAAAAAACACTACATCTTTCTTCGTATATCTTTTTTGTTTCTTTCTTCTCAGAGACCTTTTGAATAGTGACGTGATTGCTTTCAAAACAAGCCAGAGGGAGGTTTTTCTTCGGAGAAAAAGAGGGATCGAGGTAATTCTGTGCAAAAGAGTAAAAAAGAAATATATACATGTCTGTAACCGGTAATTCCTCATAGTTTTTAACGAAAATTTACTGTGGTAAGTGGGCCATCGCCTCCCCTGACCGGAGGTCATGTCAAATATAATTGCTGAAAAGAATATTTTTCAAACTAGAAATTAAGTATGTTTAGGGACAGGTTCAAGGTGTTCTTATAAAGAGTTTAAATATACTAATAATTATATAAACAGAAAAAAAAAAACGCTGGTGAAGGAACATAAATTTTTGCATATAAAGCATGAGATGCAAAGGCATAGAAAGATGAGGTGGGGCTTGGGTAATATTAATAATCCATTATTCAAATCCGTAATAAAAAGTTAATATTAGAGATCAAATAGAAATTGTTAAGAACATGAAGACTCAATCATTTTTTTTAAAAAAAAAAAAGTCAATTAGAAAAGAATGAAACTTTAAAAATCAAAAGAAGAATGTAAGTTGATCAAGAAGTTGAGTTAGGTTCACTAATTCAACTATTTTTTTCCCATTTTGACGCTCGTGTATGGTATGGTTCTCTCACTCGACTATCAAAGCAAGCACAAATAAATTAGTTAGTAGCGGAAAATGATCATGGTGATATCCACCAGCTAGCTAGAATTCATAAAATAAGAGTGAATAACCCATTAATTCCAAGTAATCCACATGAAGATTAACTTATTGTTTTCATCAAATAACTAAGTAAATTGTGAAAAAAAATAAATCATTGCGAGTCTTGCTGATAGATCCTCGTACAATATACATTCGAACTTACACAAGGATATCATATTCTAGGGCAAGATCACCAGTATATGCTGAGTTTAAAAAATAAGAACAATACTAATAACGGTAAGATCTATATATTGGGATTCATAAGATAGGGTTTACAATTATAAAACAGCCTAGAAATCCGTCAGGCACAAACAAGTTGGCAGAGGAACCACCACTTAACAATGATTGTACAGCCATTTATGCGTCAGATAAAAGTGGGGGGACTAGTGTGATACTACTGAAGAGAAAATAAAATAAAAAGCACATGGTCCAAGAGAGAGTTCAACAAGCTACTACGAGAGCGAGCTAGTCTCTAGGCAAGTGCATCATCAAAACAAAAGAAGAAAAAAACAGACCCTTTAAGCTGCTGCTCATGACTTTGGCCTTTTTACGGCTTTTTGTTTTGTATCAGTTTTCACTAGATTATTATTTTTATTATTTTGTTGTTAGCAGAAGTATAAGTATTTCTCTCATTTCTCTTCAAACCCACACATGAAAGGCTTTGAATGGTCTCTGCATATTTGGAAAGATGCTACTTTCTTTCTGGTTACTGCAGCTTGGGCTTCACTTTCTCTTTCATCTTCCTTCTCTCTCTCTCTCTCTGTGCGTCCAGTACTGCCCCCCATATGGCCCTGATTCTGATGCAAAGAGATTAAAGAGGATCATCATCATCATGAATGAATGGAGTTTGTTTGTGTCTGTGGCTTTGGGCGACCTTGAGAGCGACCACTGAGTCTCTGTGACTGTCATTAACCCCTCCCTCCTACGCTGGCACTGAAAAACATGCTACTCCTCTCCTTTTCCTTTCAAATTCACACACACACACACACCTCTCTCTCTCCCCCCTCCCCACGCAAACCTATTCACTTTGTTCTGGGCCTTTTAAGATTTTGCTGACCTTACAGTTATTTGACTAGGCTTATTCAGTATGCTTTAATAATAAGAAGGCTCGATGTATCCGTAATTTTGTCACCTTTGATTCATCTGGTGAGGGCATTAATTTCTTTAATGTTTATTATTATTGTTGTTTGCGTGATGTGTACTGATAAAAAGAAAAAGACGATGGCCTAGCTTGCTGGGCTGTTTTCCATTTTCTCTCTGATGACCTTCTCTTCTGCTATTGCCCAACAAAGATCTTCTCATAATAGTCCCAGCAGAAAATCCAAACAACCAGAACTACAGGTTAGGGGAAATTTCAGAGTTTTCTCAGACTCTCTCGTGCATTCAATGCAGTGATCGAGTAAAAACAGCCTGATCATTACAAGATATAAAATACATATCATCATTACTACTGCCAACAGATCAAAGAGCTAGAGATTATTCATATTCATATCCATATAATAGCTAGAAAAGACAAACAAAAGGGGGGGGGGGGAAGATCAGAAAAGAAAAGCTTTCTAGCAAAACCCTTAAAACATAGTTTTATAGTCTGCTGGCTGGTAGTAGTGCCGAATTTAACTAAAAACTTAAACACCCCACTAATCCCACGTACACAATAATCACATCATCACTTCTTACTCGGTATACCAATTCACAAAGATATATAATGAGGGTAAGACCCAAAAAGAAGAAGAAAAAACCAGACTTGGGAGAGATGATATATGTTTCGATATCAGTTAGTGATGGTTTTCTTTCCCGTTGTTGTTGTTGTGGTCTAATACTTGGCCACCTTCCGTTATTAATTTTTGAGCTTGCTGGTGAAACTGTTGCTTACAAGCTTGACATGTGATCTGAAGCATAGTTGAATTGATCTGCTTAATCGCTTGCTCTTTCAAAGCGAATGCTTTATCCAGTTCAGCTTGAGCTTGCTGTCTTATTCTCCTGGCGTTCGCGAACTCTTGCTCCGCCGCCTCCATCTGTCTCTTGGCTTCTTTCCTTGCCTCCTCCGCGTATGCCTTCTCCACCATCAGCGCCGCCACCGCACCCGGCGGCTTATCGCTGCTGTTACTGCTCTCCTTTGGTGATGAATTCGTCCTATTTGATTCGTTCTTGTCGCTCAGGTCCGACGACCCAATTGAGAGCTGTAACTGGGTCGAATGGGTGTCGTCTCTTGCGACGTCGTTGGGCGGCGTGGCGGTTGAGAGCTGAAGGTCCAGGTTGGGGTAGAGCTTGTTGTTTTGATGGTTGGTCTTGGACGAGGTTTGATGAGCAATAATAGGGTTATTGTTCTGCAAGAATGTGGGTTCCGCGTTTGGCTTTGTCATCACCAGACCAGGTGGAGGCCAGGCCGGACCGGCGCTGAAATTGGTCTCGCTTGACGGACTGGGGCTCGATGCAGTTCGAGATAGACACGCCGGTTGCTGCGGCTGCCCCTCCGACTGGAGTCGCCCCATATTGCACGCATCTTGGTGTTCGATGAAGCTCTCCACCCTACGCGCATGCATACAATTAGGACAACAAAAAAGGATGAACATAAAGACAAAGAAGAAGAAGAAGAAGAAGAAGAAGAAACATCATCATCATTTAGCATTTGAAAGGATGGGATTAGATGATGGAGGAGTGTGGACCTTAAAGAGCGAGCTAATTAAAGAAGGAGAAGGAAGGAAGGAGGAAAGAAAGAAAAGTGATTGTAAAAGGTGTTCTTTTTAGAAAAGGCGTCCACTGGTTTTTTGAAATGGCGAAAGGGGGTTCCGCTGAATAAAGGTGAAGAAGCAAGAATCATATTAAATCACATCTCGAAACTCGTTATATCTCAGATTAAGACATATATGCTGTAGTTCGTTCGTCCAAGAAATATACAACGTATGATCACGAAGAAGATGATCCTGGAACGGCAGAAGCTATATATATATATCTGTATGTATGGGACCAAAACCAAACCCAAAAAAAAAAAAGAGCTTTGGGAGCAGTGTTCTCCAACCGTCGCGAAAACAGTATTATTTATATGTTTGAAAGTTAGGATTAATAATGTTGCATCAGTCAAATACGAAAACCTTTTATTTCCCCCTCACTAACTTTATATTCCATTCCAAAAAATGTATTTCCCTTTTCTCAAGTCAAAACCAATGTAAAACAAAACGGCATCAAGTTTAAGTGAGTTGATAATACAATCATATATAATCAAAGAACAAACAGATGTATCTGTTGTGAGTATCCGAAGTTTTGATTTAATAATACCAATATTGCATATATATATATATATGATATATATACCTGGAGAAGACTCGGCCACAATCACAGGAATGGCCGCGAGTGCCACAGGTCTTGAGATGTGCCTTGTAATCGGACTGGACGGCGTAGGCCTTAGAACAGCGGTGGCAGACCCATTGCTTGTGGTTGCTATGCTTCCGGCGAAAGTGTTTCTTGATTCCGACGAGGTCGCCGAGGGCGTGGCAAGGGTCATGGTGCAAGCATGTCGGCTCCGGGCAAACAAACACCCTCTTCCTCACCACCGGCGTCTCTCTCTTGAGCAGCTTCCATGGCACCTTGTGCCTCCTCCTGTGCATCTGCAGGTTCTGGTCTCTCTGAAACCCCTGGTTACAGATCTCGCACACGTACCGGTCCGATTCCAATAGCGTCTTGGGCGACAGCGAAACCACCTCCGCATCTGGATCTGCAAATATTATATAAATCCCAAAATCAATTCAACGTTTAATTTCATCATGAACACAAATGGGAATTCAAATTAAGACTGTGGCGCACACACTACCTGGTGTTCCGGCGGGTCTTCTCTTTCTTTTGTTGGTAGTATTGGCGCCATTTTCTGCGGTGGAAAACTGCTCCGACGTTGGAAGTGATGACATGGGGTTTTTGTTCTGTGATGATCCTTGCTTATAATAGTGGTATGGGTGTCTCTGTGTGTTGAGGTAAAGTGGTGAATTGTTGGTGATAGGATTAAGTAAATGGAGAGATCATGAGAGGAACAAAGAGAGAAAGAAGAAAAGACAGCTAGAAGGCATAGGAGAGAGAGGGGCGGGGGGGAGGGAAGAAGAAGGAAAAAGATCTTTGCTTTCTTGCTTTCTTTCTTTCGGTTACTCTCTCAGCTTTCTTTTAACTTGCTTTTAAACTTTCAGCTTTTTCTTCCATGGGGCTCTCTCTCTCTCTCCCCCTATCTCTCTCTTCTTCTCTTGCTTCCAATTCCAACTCTCATCTTCAGAAGGTGTTGTCTCTCCTTAATAAACTTTCAAAAAGAGAGACACACAGACCCAATCACAAAGCTCGAAACTTGATCCCACAGGCACCCTCCTCTCTAAATGGGCTCCAGATATATGAGAGGCAAAAAAAAAAAAAAGGAAAAAAAAATCCCCCACAAACAAACACATCCCTTCTCATAATTTATCTCTCCCCCTCTCTCTCTTCTTTTCTCTCTCTTTCTCACTGTAAATTTTTTTTTCCTGCCTTCAATCCATGCATAATTACACCCCCATACCCACGTAAGCTTCCTATTTTTGTCACACTTTCTCTCTCTACCCCTCCCTCTATCTCTCTTGCGCGGGGAGGATATTATCTTTATAGACCATTGTACCCATGCTCGTGACTGTGCAGAACCTCTAATTAATTTCTCACGAAGCAGCTTTTATAAAGTTAGATAATGAGGACGTGAGGTCACCCTCAAGGGCACTATGGTACTTACACAGCATGTGTGTGTGTGTGTGTTTTTTTTTTTTTTAAATTCCAAAATTAATTAATTAAGGTGGCTTTGCCTTTTGGTAAACTGGGGGCATCAAAGCTAACAGTAAGGAGTTGAAATTAAGGCGAGGTTGTCTTTTCTAGGAGAGTTCGTAATGTTGGCAATATTGTCCCAAGCCAAGACATACATGTAAGCAGTAGTCCCTGTGGTACGGCGACGACCATCATTTTACCTTCGAGTTTTATGGCCACATTAGAAGGGGGGATATATGTAGATATATATATATAATTAACACATGAAGAAGTATAATTAATGAGTCTATAATCAACTTGATAAAAATATATTCCGTCAGTCCTAAACATAAGACTCCTTTTGTAATGTAAATTACACTATAAAATTGGTATTATATTTAGGACCGGAGGAGTAATTAATATACACACAGATAAAATGAAATTCTTGTGCCAAGGAGGCTTATCCAGTTTACATAATATTACCTCCGATCCTAATTATAAGACTCTATTTGTAGACTATAAATAAGGTCTTATAATTAGACTAAAAGTAATAATAGTCAATTTAATGACTTTCGTCAAAAAAATTAATGATCAAGTCATTTTTTATAATTTTATCCATTATAAATTATAATTAATATATTTAAAAATAAAATCAAATTTATCATAGCGCTTTATTGTTTATATCAATGCATTAGTTGAAGCATTGTTAAAAATTTAATAATTCTTGTGCGGAGGGAGCTTATTTAATTTAAATAACCTATAATCATTTTTAAAGAAAAATCGTGACTTTATAAACAATATATAAATAAAAATAAAAAATCAATATCGTTTTCATGTGGGAAAAAATCTAATGTAAAAATTAAGAAAGGGAAAGACAAGAAAAGGAAGGAAAGTACACTATCACATAAATGGGGGTGATGGGATTACCTTCTTTGTGCACCGGAAGAGGCAAAACTTATTACACATTAATCAATAACTAATTAATCCGTACGTGTTCCTGATGTTATGTATATATAAAAGTGGTGCACATAAACTCATCGATTAACTTTGTAGTAACTTGCAAGGAAATTAGCATTGCATGTTTACGGAAAGTTGATCATGCAAATCCAAACCATTATTAGCCGAAAAACACGTCTCTATAGCTTCTTCTTCTTTCACATTTTCTCCCTTCTCATTTTGCCCTCTTGTTTTAACCTATGCGCCACATAAAATAATAGAAATACATTATTCAATGGTTAAAAAACATTATCGAAAAACGTACAATTTTATCTGCTTTTGTGATTGTTTTTATTATATTGTATATCACATATATATCATCATACATTAGGAACAAAATATCTGCCCATGAAAAATTCATTAATGTTACGTGTATATATAATACACATGTACTAGACGCACTACAAAAAGTTAGCATATTAGTGACAAAATTTAATGATAGAATAAAATTCTGTCACTAATCTGTCGCTAATCCCTCACAAATTCTGTCACTAAAATTAGTGACAGGATTTAGTGACAAAAAATTTATGTCGCTAAATCAATGAAGGATTATTTCGTCACTAATTTAGAGATGGATTAGTGACAAAATCTTATTCCGCCACTAAATTCTGTCACAAGTCCGTCATTAATTTTGTTTTAAATGATTATTGACAAAAATTAGTAATGAAAAAATTTCGTCATAATTTCTATTATCAATCTATCACTAACTCTCATTTTATGACAGAATTTTTCCGTCACTAATTTCCGTCGTAATTCCGTCACTAATCTGTCATAAAAAACATAATATAAATATATAACAATTATTTTTAAACTTATTATTAAAATAAATATAATATATCATGATTTTTAAATAATATATTATATAAAAATTAAAAAAATACAAATATTATAAAAGAAAATAAAAATATATAATATACTTAGTATTTTGTTAAATATTTAAATAAAAATATAAATTACTAGAAATTTTTATTAAAATATAAAAATTAAATTCAAATAATAATAATATATTAAATATCCATTTCTAATTTGATTTTTTTTAGTCAAGAATTTATGTGCTGCATGCATGGTGTAATCATCAGTAATTTATTAATTACCTTTTATTGCGTTTTAACAACAATTCATCCTTCCGCACTAAACACAAGAGCTAGTTAAGGAGTTAATTTTGACCATGAATATAAGACCCTTAATTCATTTTATCTCTAATATTTATAATCAATTTTGACCAAACTTGTTTATATCTAACTTACAAGCTAATATATACTCTAATACTATATAAGGGCATTTTAGAGAGATGGTGTCAATTTTATTTAAATTAAATAATTTATTCAGCTATTTTAATTTCTTTAAATAGTTAAATAGTCCTTATATTAAAAGAGTTTTTAAGGTTATGATAGTTTTAGGGTTTGGGGATGTTGTCATTATTAGCTCATGATTTTTCATTACGCTGGTGATGGAGTTGCAGGGAAATGGTAATTTTACTAAAAATTCATATTATTAATCAGTTATGATCAACGAGTCTGCTAAACGCCATATCAGCACACACATATATGCATGTGTGTATACTTTTGTAACTAAACTAGCTCTCTTCATTTGCACAAATTAAAATTAAATAATGGTAGTAGCCTGTGAATGGTACGGTTCTTTACCCTTTTTTAACAGTTATGTCGATGTTAATTATTGGAAATTTTTTAATTAATAAAGAATGTCCTGTTAATTTATCGTTTGTGAGGCTTTTTTGTTTTTGAACTCGTGTGTAGGATGAACGAACTGCTGTTGTTCAATCAATACACGATATTAACTATAAAGCATTTGGACTAAATAGGCCTTACACTATCATTTCCATATGGTAAATCATAATATATGAGCATGTTGTGGGAAGCTTCTTCGTGAGAATTAGTTACTTAATGTAAACGGCCCGTTCCAACTTACTAGCAACTAATTTCTTGTTTTTCTCTAATAAAAAATTATACATAGGAATGTCCATCCAAACTTGTAAAGCACCTAAAGTTCCACTTTCAAGTTTAGAGTGAGCGAAGTCTATAGAAATCAATTAACTCATCCGTTAAAAAAAAAAATTCCTCCATTCCTTAATGTAAGAAATACTTAACTGGTTATTCTTTTGATCCTTAATGTAAGACCTAATTTAAGAGGTAATATAGATTCTATATGTAAAACTTATTTTATATATTTATCAATTTTTTCCAAATTAATCGTATTAATATTCTCTCAATAATAATTAAGTAGAAGAGTAAGGAAAGAAATTAAAAAGAATAATTAAGATATTTTAGAAAAAACATATCATATTAACTAATTTAATCAACATCTTTAATCTACTCAAATTAATTGAGTAGGTTTTAAATTAATGACCAGATGAGTAATTTAGATAGATTAAGAAATAGCATTTTCAAAGATACTTTCGAATTACTTACCAAAATGGTACTCATATCGATCAGTAATAAAATTTAGAAAGTAATGAGAAATTAGAGGGATAATATATGAATAATTGATGAATGCATATTCATGGATACAAACATAGACAAACATATTCGCTGCACATGCAGATTTTGGTGAGGATATATATTCCCGCATGTGTTTTGGTGGCGAGGTTCGTCCTCTTTATCCCACCCATAGCCCCACTTTGCAATACTCTCCTTCACACTCAAGAATAATATTCAAACCAATTCATTGTACACTATCATTCACCAAAAGTACACACCCACACATTTATTGAAAAAGCCAATGTTACAATTTACTCGCTCAAGTCATTAGTATAAGAGGTATTAGACAACAAATTTAAAGAGATTCAAAATATTAACTAATTAAGTTAGTTATTTATATAAAATATATATTGATTTTCTTAAAATATGCTCTTTAATCATCATTTGCATGGAAACTCCCTTACTACTATACTAAATAGGGTAGTTTGAGCTAAAAGATTATAAATTTGTATGAAGACAAAACAGGTTGAAATCGTCTATTTATGATTAAATATGTTAACTAACTCCTATATTTAAAATGGGAGAGAGTACATAAAATTCAGTGGCCATGGGGAAGGGAGGTGTGGGTCCCCTTATGACCATTTCTTTTATATACTTTTATATCATACTGTGCTCGCATAACATTGGATCCACAGGAGTGATTGAGATTGATTCATATACGTAGTGTAAGTGTTATAAAATATGATATTTATATATATATATATATATACACACACACTCTTCCGGTCCTTAATATAGGACCAAATTCTTGAATTGATTTTGATTCTAAATATAAGACATATTTCTCATATTTATTAATTTTTTCTAAATTACTCATATGGATACTCTTTCAACCATAATCAAGTAGAAGAAAGAGAAGAGGTATTAAGAAAGATGATTATGGTGTTATAGGAAAAATGTGTCATTTTTCTTATAATTAACTAACTTACCTAACTTTCTTAATCTAATCAAATTAGTTAAATGGGTCTTATGTTAAGGACTATAAGAGTATATAAATTGTAAGGGAGGAGGATATATGTCACATTAAACCTAATTAATGCTATTTGGTATATACGAAAAGCATCA